CATTATTGAAGGAAAATCTTCATCTGGAATCTGACTGAGTTCAGATATATCCTTAATTTGTGCAACACGCCTGAACCACCTCTCTGCCTTTGCCTCCTCTGACATGTCCAAAGGATCTGGTTCCTTCACGGCAGACCCCTCCAAACTCTTCCCTGTCCACTCTGCTTTACCACTCTGGTTGTCAGATGTTGGAACTGGGGATGAACTCCCAGTCAAATTTGGAACATGATCTTGATTGAAACTCTGCCTTGAATTTCCACTGGTTCCTGACCAAGACATAGAGCCAATATCATTGTTATTTGAGCTCTGTTCAGAAGACTTTGGACTCTGTTCTGGTTGAGCTCTAGTATCATCAGATATCTCTGAAGCCTTCTCTGCCACCTCAGAAATGGAAGATGTACCATAATTGGACCTATCCATTGAATCTGTTCCATCTGCCTGCGGCTTGTCCTTTTTAGCAAAGTAATCTGGGGGGAAGGGGACAAACGGAACAAAGTTGGTTTTGCTAGCTTGTTCCATTGCCACTTGTCTCTTATATGCTGGTGTTGTTAAAGAACGATCTTTTTTCTTGCTAACAACAAATCGATTTTCTCCATTACGCATGGGCATTATTTCAGGGAAATCCTCATTGGATATTGCACTTGTCACATCTGGAAAATCATTCAGCTCAGCAATCTTTCTTAACCATTTCTCAGATTTTTCAGCTTGTTCTTTCTTCTTATCCTCTGTGATATTTGTAGAATTCTTAGAATGTTGTGAACTGTCTCCCAAACTAGCATATCCGATATCAGTGTCTAACACCACATTTTTGCTCTCGTCTGATAGCAAGTTCTCAGACTTCGGGCCAAGTGAATCTGCAGACAATGGACTGGGAGAAACAGTACTAGTGTAGTTCCCTTGAACATTTTTATAATGTGAAGTATTGCTATAGCTAGCAAATGAAGGTTGCCGGTCTCCGCCAGCATTTTGTTCAGAAACAATGTTGTTATTGCCATATTGAGGAAGGCCAGCTGAATGACCTAGCATGTCATCCAGACTGTCATGGGACTTGATTGGCTCCCCAACATTAAAATCCTCAGTCCCAGAAATGTCATAATTAGACAAGTTTCTCTTATATTGAGCGTTAGCCAACCTCCTCTTCAGTGGAGTCTTTCTTGTGCTCACAACAAATCTATTAACTCCTTTCCTCAGTGGCATTATTTCAGGAAAATCTTCATCTGCAACCACACTGTTAATATCAGCACTGCTGTCTAGTTGAGAAACCTTGCTAAACCAACGCTGTGCCTTTTCTTCATTAGCAGCTAACCTAGGATCAATATCTGAAGTATTAGGATTGTTTCCATTTTCGTACTCCTTATTTGACATGGTATTGATGGCACCCAAAGATATTTGTCCAGGTCGCTTGCAATCACACCTTAAGCAACTCATGTTCCTCCCATAGTTAAAGAAATCACACCTTCATAACGACAATCCTGTTAATTGGATGTCTATGACAAGTTACACGGAAAAACATTTTAAGGAAGGGTAATACTTACTGAGGACATTCCCATTCACCTCCAGCGAGTTGCCTTTTTGGCCTTGCTTCATCACACTCAAGACATTTGATGTTTCGTGCAAAATTCATGAAATTACACCTGGTCAATATTAGAGAGAAACATACTTATCAGAATGGTGTACAATATTTGAGGAGACAAAATTAACTATAACAATTGCCTCACACTCTGCCCTTGGTGTTCCACCATTACCCAAAAGTAACACATTTGATAGTTCATTGGGACTATAGTTAAAATTAAAAGTAATAAAATAGTACCTTGAGCAAATCCAATCACCCCTCTTCATTTCAATCTTTTGTGCAGGAGGCTTTGTATATCCAAATCTTCCAGCCATTTGACTTTGCACTGAGTCAAAAGAATTTGATCCAGGTGCACTATAACTCAGTTTGAAAAGTTCATCAAAGAGATTTCTGACAGATGATTCAAGAAGATTTCTTTCATTGAGACTGTTCCCTTCTGAAGGGACATATGGATCACTCGCATAGCTCAGCAAAAACTTCATTAGGTCAACCGTATTTGCTCTATCAGTGTCCAACACCTGTGAAGAACATATTGAGCACAGCTGGATTTCGATGCACTTTTCAAAATTTGAAATTAAGTGTTAATACATGACAGAAAATATGTTCCATACGATATCATGTACTGTTTCATTTATTTCGGAATGATTTGAAACGATGATCCTTGGCATAAGTTCAAGCTTCAAGTGAATCTCCACGTTTCTTTTGACCCAAAAGGAGTATGTATTTAAGAAAAGGTTACACTGTCGAAACTTCCAACACTATTTTTTTTTAACTGCTTTCTAGTTGCTCGTTGCAGACACCAATGTGTTACTTGCACTCATACATGATAGCAATCATATTACATTTGCAACATGTAATATTGAGAAATAAGAACAAACCTAGCTCTGAACTAAAAGGCTTATAGTAAAATAAACTCATGGTTGAAATTTGACGATTAATAGATCAAATACTAACTACAAGCAATCAATAATATTTTAATTGTCAGCAGAAACACAGTTAACGCGATAGTGAATGTTAAAAATTTCTTACACCAAGCAATTGCTCCTTAACACGAGCAAATTAACATTCTCCACAACGAAGTAGTGAGAAACAAAAAACAGAGGATAACTAAGAAGAAAGAAACAAACTAACATTGGCGTCACCGTTGGACAGAAAGGACTTCATCTTCCTGACGGAATCATCTGCATCGCGGAAGAGAAAGGGGGAGCCGTGCTCAACCACGGCCGCAATATGTCTCGTAGAAAGCAACCTACCACCATCCAATCCAATTCACTTCAATTCAGAATAGAATTCAACAAAATCGGATAGAATTTGGGGGGAAAAAAGAAGAAAGGAACCTGAGAAGGTTAGGGCGGTCGCGTGCGAAGGCCAAGCAAGCGGTGGCGTCGCGGAGAAAGGAGTAGGAGAGATGTTGGGCGGCGGCGGTGAAGGCTTCATCGGGGAGGGAGGAGAGGTAGCCGGCGGAGGATATGTGAGAGAGGAAAGAGGAGTACTCAGGGCAGGGAGATGAGTAGGCATAGGAAAACTGGGAGGCTCTGAGTTTGAGTGGCAAAGGTGAAGATGAGAAAGAGAAGGAAGAAGGTGAAGCAGAGAGGCGGAGGGAATGGGAAGAGAGGAGAAAGAGGTTGAAGTGGTGGTGGCGGTGGCGGTGGCGGCGGAGCAGAGGGAGGGGAGTGGAGAGGAAGAAGAGGAACCTTGGGGCCACGCCACTCATTTCACACTTCTTCAGCTAAATTCGCTGCACTTGTAATTTGGTTTCCTCATCTAAATTAAAACAACATTCCCACACATCCATATATACATTATACATATCTTAATATACTTTTAATTTCTCAAGATGATTGCTTCGCTGCCACTTGTATTCTCCATTTGGTATCACGGTTTGAATTTGTTTTTTACAACAAACCTAAATAAACAAAATTTATAGATTGACTCCATAGATAGATATTTTTCCTAAATATTCTTACATCCCGAAGCTGATCACCCTTGCTCTATTTTTCTAGTTAATTTTATGTGACAAGAGTTTACCACACCTAAATTAAGAATTTTTGCTATGAACTTTTCAAAACATGAAAATATCTTCTTAAAGCATTTCAATTTTTGCAAAGACATATTTTGTTTCATGTTGACGAACTCAAGGACTTCATTCTATGTTGAGAGATATTACAACATCATGCAATTTTATATTTGTATATATTATGCTTTTCAAATAATTTATTTCGTCTAATCATCAAGAGAATCTCAAGAAAAACCAATGTAAGAAGATTTTTCGAAAAGTGTATCCAAACTATTTTACGCCAAGAACTTATTTGATAAAACAATCCATCACATCTATATAGTTCATCAATCGTATATACGATCCTATTAAGAGTTAAAAGATATCTGACAAAGGTCTCATAATCATCACAATGTGTCTTCAAGTAGAAGTTTACATTAAATATTTCATTAAGAGAATTTAAAGCAACTATCCATGTCTATGCTAACGAACAAATAACTTATCGACATCTCACGAACTAGAACAAGAATCCACAACAACATTGTTTTTGCTTTTGCTTTGACGAAAGTACAGTTATGAGGAAAGAAAGGCAAGTTACTTCCTCATTTGTTTCCACATTTATGTGTAGAAATGAAAGCATAAATTTGCAAGTAAATACATTTTGAAATTTTCTCATATATATATGCAAAGAAACTCAGGAAAAGCCAACTGGAAAGAAAAACTTTATAAATATATACCCTTCAATTTTCGATTACATTATATATATATATAATGTAAATATATAATATAATATAATGTAATAATACATAATTAAAAATAATAATGCACAAATAAAACATTATAAGGAGATTAACAAATAAATATAATAATTGATAACACTAACTAATGTTGTTATTATTAATAAAATCATAGTTAAAATAATTTATATAGTAAAAGTAATTTAGTTATTTTATAAACATAATTTTACAATTTCTTTTGAAATTATTATATTTATCAAATCATTTACAAATTTTCCCTTTATTTCCTTCTATTTTCGATCCTCATTTCCTTGATCCAGAAAGGCACATTTTTCACGTTTCCACTCCTTGAAACAAATAGAGGCTACAAACTAGTGTCACGCCCAGAGTTGCCCATGTGTCAATTGTAACCATTTTAGCAAACCCTAATAGATATAACAATGTTTTGCACTTCATAAATATGACATGTTTTGAACTTAATGAGCAGGTTGAAACACTTTGTATAGAACATGAATTTAAATGCTTTTTCTTCAAATATACTTTTATTCATGAAGATGTAGTTCCTGTGATAACTAGTAATTTGGTGACACTTCATGCTTTGAAGAGCCTTTAAAACAAAATCAAACACTAGAGAATAAATATCATTGTGCAACCCAATTTATTCCAGAAAAAAAGAATATTACAAACAGAATAATTATAATTAAAATGACAGTTATTTTCTCCTAACTAATCAACAAATTACTGGTGAAACATTGCCCAGCACAGCATAGTTTGGGCGAACAAGTGGTAAAAGCTTTTGTATTTTGTCGGAAACCTTTTCTCCATTTCTCATCTCAGCATTTTTATCATGCACGCCTAGTATTCCTTAAACCTCCAAAACTGGAAGCCAAAATGGTAGGATAACTTACCACAATGCCCAATGCAACAATAATCCTTACAAGAAATAAACTGAAAAGGTAGTATAACTTCAAAGAAGAATTTGTTAATCACAACTATTTTCTGCTGATTATTTAGAAGATACAATCATTATTAACTTCTGTCTTCTACATAAAAAATCAAGATTTGGCGGCACCTTTTCAACAGTTTAGGAAAGAACGATAGCTTTGCCACATAACTGCTCCAACTCACCTTCCAAGATTCTGTACAAGTTTGCTTTGTTCCGTCTATAAATCCAAGCATTGGTATCCCGATCCCAATCAAACCTTGACGGACCACTGCAGAAAACAAGTCCGAGAGATCATTGATACATGTCATCCAGATAATTCAAGGTACCTACTTTGGTCCATGTAAATAAACAGAAGCAGCAGAAAGTTATTCTAGCAAAATAAAACTGCATTTAATGTCTTGGAATCACATAAAGACCGTAAAGATATCACTGCTACAAGCATTCACGACATCACTTCAGATTGAATATAATCTACACTACACTGAAGTTGAAAGCAAGGAGGATACATATATGACTATAAGATGCCATGCCATCCGTTGTAGTACTAACCGACATGATTGGGCATAACTAATATACACGGTGATATCATCTCTACCATGAAAAGGACTACATCATAGAAAAGATACTCCTATGGTCTCACTTTATAAAATGAAATGGGTATGGGTTAATTGTATTTTGTTCCTAAAAGAGAAAAAACCTACATCCGGAACAGTTTCAACATTGAAATTAAACTAATAATAGGATTTAGCAAAGTCCTACCGCTAAGATACGAAAATTACAAAGAACTGTCTCAATACACTCCCTAACAAACTATTATTAACTCAAATTGATTGAAAATCACAATATTGTTGGTTCCATTTTTCATTTAATAAGTCTAACTCATAATTTTATTATTTTCAATAAATTTTAACTCATAGTTGATTGTGTTACAATTACTTATTTTTAAAGATAACGTTTTTAACAACATTTGGATGGTTATCACCAATACTCTTTTCACCAAGTTCATTCTCTCACAAAGATACTGAAGAAGTCTATGTATACCGCTCCTGCAAAATTCATTCGCATGCAATTTCTGACATGAACCCACATGTCTAGAGACTAAAGCCTTAGAAAAATCCTTGCTAAAAAATTGACCATAAATAGACAAATAACATACACAATACCTCAGTGGAGAAGACAGCCAAAGTTGTCGATTTGGTGTTTGTTTGTTCAATACATAGGTGCCACGATCGCCAAGTTTTACAGTCAAAACATCATTCTGAAATGGAAAGCCATATAAAAATAACAATACACCATGCAAAGAAGCCACTTAAAAGTAGTATGAAGAAAATAATTAAAATCTTGCAAGTAATTGGAAGAAAATAAATAAAATCTTAGAAGAAAAAAGCTAAAAAAGCTATTTATTTTCTAAGGACTAAATGGTAACAGAGAATTTTATTTAAGCAAATCTTATCATGTTATAAATATGATTGTTCAAAATAACACCTGATGAACAATACAGCTTCATGTTTTACTTCTAATTTACGAAATGTTCTAAGGATAGTTTTTTGTTGACAAGTAATTTTTATTATCTATCCTTTATTTATAACTTATTCTAACAAAAAGAATCCATACCCCATAATCTATGTCAAATCCATCAACTTCAACTAAGTCTCCATAGTCCTGTCAAGCAACAAACAAAACAATGAATACCAAACATGGCTTAAAATTCACATAATATGAATTGAATGCGTTGTGGCTGTCAACTCCCACCACCACACTTAGACAATCTTCCAATGATTTGCATATTACAAATTTAAGTTGGTGCAAACAACAAAGCTTTGCTAAAGATACCTCTAATTTCTCTTGTACGCTATGTATTGTGGAATCAGCCAATCTATGGAATTCACTCTCATCCAGTAGAGAACTGCATTCACACTAATAGTTAGTTAAGTCATTTCCCCCTATTGAAAAACAAAATTGCAATATGTACATCGAATGGGGAATTAGCACATGACTGACATGAATTCTCAGAAATATGCATTGGGAACTCATAAATCCACCATTGTCAAACCCCAACTAGCTCCAAAATTAATTGAATTTTAAAATTATCTTTTTTAAAAAAAATGAAACCGTTCTTGAAATTTAAATGCTCAACTTTCTATGGCTTCCAAGAATCAAATCTTAGTATTCAATCCAAGATTGTGGGGCATTGTTGACTCCAAAACAACTAAAGTGGAACATTTGGCACACAGCCCATTTCTACCGAAACCCTAATTCACTACCACTAGGATCAGACAGCTCCCTCCTACCTACTAGTCACCACCTCTTGGTGGCAGAGCTGACACTAGACAGAACAGACAGAGCTGACATTGGTTCTATTGACTACATAGAATAATCAAATAAGAATATATCGGATGAAAAACAATCACATACCGGTAATCAACAGTCAGGGGGGCTTGAGATTCATCAAGATTAAAACTGCCAGAGCACAAATTTCTTGAATAAGATGAGTGAGAGGGAAGAAGGCTATTTTTCCTGCAGAGGGACGTGCATTCTGAAGCTTTTACAGAAAGGAATGGGACCACATGAGTGGAAGAAGATGAAGAAGGCGCTAACAGTTGCAAAAACCTGAGGAGCCTTCTCTGCAAAACCAACTTTGAGGCCATAGCTTTTTTCACCTCAGCTGCAAATGTTAAAAATATAACTTGTAATAATAATAATAATAATAATAATAATAATAATAATAATAATAAAAGAACCCAGCAAACATAGTTTTCCAAGAAATGAATATACCTATGGGTGAGTATAGGTATGTTTAGCTTTAGGGATTTGGCAAGGGTGAAGTCTAAATAAAATGGTACACCTGTAGACTACTATTTATGACCTGTAATAGAATGTAACAATCGGTTAGCTTAAAAATTTTAATTTTCTGATTACTTGTGTTTAAAGACATGGACTTACGTGAAAATACTATATGGCTGTGAAACAAAGGCTTGTTGGTCAAAACAAACACAATCAGTAACAGTGCACGCTAATCCTAGAGAGAGGTACTTGAGGGGGGTGTTGCCCCAGACGGCAAAGAAGCAGAAGACAGTTTGCATTCATTTTCAATGAAAAAGGGACGAAAGTAGTATCAGAAACTAACTTCCATAATTAACATAAGTAAACTTCAGCAAATGAGATACCAATAAATCACTTGTTAATATGAGCTATGTGACGTACTGGAAGCAGAATACTTTTAATTACAATTGATCATATATGATAAATGAATACGAACTTTTAGTTGATTTCTTTATGCATAGGTTTTAAACAGGATTGGTTTTACTTATAACTAATCCAATCATCAAATTACTTCTTCCTCTCATGTATAGATTATTTGGTGAATATTTTCTTTGTTGTGTTTGAAAATGAAAATTTACAAGACAAAGTTACAAGATCTATGCCACAACAGAAAATGGGGTTAGCATAGGTACTCTGCCACGAAAGATGGTCCACATTATATACCAAGCTTTAAGGCTTCTGTTTATGTCAATGGTGTCATCTTCAGTTCTTCTAGTGCCCCTTAAGGATGAAATTTAACATCCTATCTTATATTCTAGAATTATTCAAACAATGCTGTCAAAAAATTGCTCCACATTATATACCAAGCTTTAAGGCTTCTGTTTATGTCAATGGTGACATCTTCAGTTCTTCTAGTGCATCTAGTTCCCTTAAGGATGAAATTTAGCATCCTTTCTTATATTCTATTCAAAAAAATGTCTTAATGGTATGCAGAATTATTTCATTCTTAATAAAATGCCTTGTAATCACAATATTGTGCAGAAAACAATAATATGATGGTAAAACCTAGTAATGTTAGGTCAAGTTCATACGGTTGTCAAACTCGAGTTAACTCGATAACTTTTACGAGTTTACGTTTTTACTCGGAAGCAAACTCGCTTTTGGTGTAAACTCGGTAGACTCGGGATTGAACTTGGTGAACTCGCTCAAACTCGCGTGTTTGATACTGAGTTGGCGAGTTCGAAGGAGAAATGTTTTAAACCTTAAAACGGCAGCCACCATAGCCGTTAGGTGTAAAAACTGAAGAAAACTCACCTAATGTAGGATTTCACTTCTACATCCGTTTTTGTCACCGTGCCATCGCGTCTCCTTGCTATGCTGCTGTTCAATCGCCGCTCATCAGGCTGCCGTTCGGTCGCCGCTCGTCGTGCCGCCGTTCGCTTGCCTCTTCTCTCAGCTGGATCGCGTCTCCTTTATTGTGCAGAGAGGAGGGAAAGTGTCGCCTTGCACTATATAATATATTATATTATTTATAAATGATTTTTTTAATTGAATTGTACAGTTAGGAATTAGGGTTTTAATTTCAGATTTTAATTAGGAATTAGTTTAAATTATTTAATAATAATATAATCATGCTTTTTAATTTCGTAGTTGAAAACTGAAATCAGATCAATTTAAAGTATTTCTGGAAATGGATCAAATATCAATTCAGAGCAATCCAAAAGCATTCTCATATATTTTGTTTGATCATTATATTCGTAATAATTGAATTTATAATTTTTTTTTATAGAAAGCAAACTCTTACAGGTTTACGGAATTATCATAAGTTTACGATTAGAAGAATTTAAGAAAATTCTGAGTTTCACAACGGTACGATTTGTTCACTTCATTTTGTACAATTGTGGCACTTCAGTTTTGAACTTAGTTTGCAAGCTCTGTTCTATATAGATTCTAAAGTTCAAATAAAGAAAAACAATACTTTTTTTTTACTTTCATTTTAGTTTCATTCTAATGAAAAATATATTCTGATGAATCCCTCCAAAAACGGCCTTTTGTCGTTAGTAGAGTATATCCATCAAAACTGTCTGCAATCATTTTAGCTTTTTCAATTACGAAAGTTATAAGATGCAAAATACATCCGCGATTAATTTTAGAAATGATAGTCCTACACATTTCCAATCACATTTTCTCATGAAAATAAATAAACAATAATATTGTGAAGGAGTGAAAATAGTCTAATATACATTCTAAAAACTATTTGATTTAACGAAATTGATATTTGTATTATTTAGAATGTAATATTTGAATGAAATAAAGAACATATGTACTCAAGTTATAATAAGAAAGAATATGAATAAAGGCTGAGGTACTCAAACATTTGTTTATGATAAAGGCTTTTTTTTTTCTTTGTTGTTTGTGGTGACAGGACAAATTATCTGTCCCGTTTTGTTGTCTCTGATTAAAAGTCAGTAAAAAAATTTGTTTCCCCCTCTTAAATGGCAATAACTTATTTCGTTTTGATGAGTTATTCTCGTTCAATTAGGGATAAAAGACCCGAATCCGTAGTCACAAGACCAGAAATTGGTTCTGAATAATTCCAGTTTTGTTTACCTAAATCCTCTCATTTGGACTTTGTGGATCAACTTTTGCCTAACCATGTAGCATCTTCACTCTATAGTATCTAATAAGATGTGGAACATAAATTTTAGTCTTTTGATCACAATTACTGTGGCTACCTATAGAAGGTTGTAGGATCCGTTACTTCACATCCTCATTTATCCTTTTATTTGCTGAACATTGTTGCTTGCATCATTACATGCATTTGTCTCTAAATTTAGAACTTAGTTGTCTAAAATGTTTTATGGCAGGATATGGCAGCTCATTCAGCCTGCGATTTTGGAGGAAAATCTGAAAAATTGGCCCTTGCAAGGATTTCAACTCTGAGGGAACTGTTTCCTCATATGGAAAACAAAAAGAAAAGAGCCTTGCTTCATCTGATAAAGGGAAAAGCTTCTTTATTAGCTGCACTTGACTACTTCATCTCTGCTTCCCCAGGAAACATGCACAATGCATTGGTGAGTTGTGCTTGATGCATTTTAGGTAACTCTAAGTAAAGATTAAATTTTTAAATAGGCCCTTAAACTATTGAGTTAGGTTTAGATAACTTTTATAAACTATTGTTGATAGTCAAAGTTTTTGATGATAATGATGATGATAGGTTGGAGACTGTACTTACCGGAACTTAAAGACCATAAGGCCAAATATGGCATTGATGGGTCATCTTTTCCTTAACAAAACCAGAGTGATCAGAGTTTGAGGATGCATTGATGGGTCAGCTTTTCCTGAATAACAAGGCATTACAATTTGGGGTGTTGTGTTATGTTCTTGATATGAGTGCTTGAGATTTTGTTGTGTATTGTGTGGGAGATGATGTATTTATCAGATGATGACATTCTTAGCAGTAGCCAACCATGTTATTTATAATTCAATAGCATCAGTCATATGGTTCTTTATCACTCCATCATCATAGATTAGATTGTAGCTTAGTTTTCACATCAGTGCTGCTACTGTTATGTATCTCAATTAATCACTGCATGATGGTTAATTAAGTCAATATAGCAAGTTGGATCATGCAGCAATTTTCTATTACAATAAACTTTAATTATTGTAATGTACAATCACACTGCTAGCTATTGTCAGGTCTAGAAAATTTGGACGTTTCAAAATTCTTAATATGGAGGTTTTTCTGAAGTGTTTCATTCCTGACTAGAAAGTATTTCTAGTTATTATATTTAGGACTTTAGAAATAAAATAAGTAAAATAAAATAATAAATCCAAAAAAATAAATAATATAAACTAGAAAGGTTAAGATTTTTATGATATAACTTCCACCAATAAAACTGGAAAGAAAGAAGGATTTTAAACAAATTAGAAAGGTTAATTACATTTCCTCTACCATGTATTTTCATGCAGCAGTAACCACTATTCTGGCCAGCCTTAGTTAACTTAATCCAATACCAACACACTACTGAATACGTATAGAATAAAACTCATAGCAAACACAGGTCTCGGACAACCATTTTCAGAGATGATTTTCATAACAGACATTATTGAATCATTCAACATCCTAACATGTTACTCTACGGCCCAGTCATCATTTTGAGCAGTAGTGATTATATAGTGTCAGAATTCATGCTATATCAACAGTCTAATCTTTAATCTGTACTACCAGCCCTTTATCATACAACTAGAGTCTAACTTCCACTTAACATATATTCCAATAAATCATAACTACATACAGCCATTTAAAATCCATTAAAATCTTTGTTAGTTTAGAATGCAGCCCAAAACATAATGATACATGGCAAAATGAAAAATCTTAGCACATACCAGTATAATCATTCAACTCCAAGCTTATAATAACCCATTTCAGCCATTTATTCAGTTCTTTCAAGCACTCATTCATCACCAAGTTTGGCAGTTTTCTCAGGCACGTATAAACATTAAGTTCCTTCATATATAGCATGTATTGCATCACAATTTCTCAAACTGAGACCTAGTATTTTGTTATACGGTTTGAGTGATTAACATTCTGTTCATTCATAACCACATCATCTGAACTAATGCAGGTTTTTAATATAATTACTAGTTACCATTATGCCTCCACCACCTAATATCTAACAATTCATCAAGCAACATCCAGAATAGCTCTCTGTTTTTCTTATTCATAACCAATTCCCTAGCCCAATCTACTTGACATATAGCTTCACGTTACAGTAATATTTATGTGGTAACAGGTTTCATGCAGTATGTTATTTAACCTGCAAACAAATCATTCAACTCCAAACTATAGGAAATTCACGTTTTACTCATATAAAACCAAAAACCATTTTTTTTATTTATTTCACTAAAAGATTTAAGATTATACCCAACTAACTCAAGCTAAAAAGAACTCACCCAACCAAGATCATTTATCATGCTAAATTCACCACATTAACATCAAAAGTAGATAAGATACCAACATCTTAATCCCAACAGCATACATACGTGAATGACTCAAACCAGCAAGCATGTATCCTCCATTAAGGCCTATCCTACACTGTAAACATTCATTCTCACAAACAATAACATAGCAACCAGTCATATACCAATCAAACCAGATTATATTTCAATGAAATAGTGATTTACTCATGCAATGGTATGCCTACAGTGTTGAAAAAGACTAACTAACATTTGACCTTTGCACACATTGAAAATTAACGCATACATCACCAAGGCACATTTAGTTCTGCAATAAAACATCATTCACATAATCTCAAGCACCAGAAACAACAGTTAAAATAAATTCCTTCACCGTATCAGAGTTACATACCAAACCCCCTACGCATGGAAATTTAGATCATACTAAACTACGAAAATAACACCTACCTGACTGCTGCCCCCTGCACTCACAGTTTCAATCCAAGAAAACGATGATCTAACCCTATAAATTTCCATTATTACAAGCAGTGCAGCCCCATTGCAATTCACGTTAATCATAAGAGAATGAAGGGTGTATGTGCAGTCAATTAACAGTCCCAATACATCCATTAACATCACAACATTCTAGTCCATAAACACATATATATAAATTCACATAATCGAAAACCAGATAGCATCCCCTTACATTACCCCAAAACAACCACTAATCATGCTAGAAGACTGCTTACCTCCACCAAAATTCTCTCCTTGAATCTAATACGCAAGGACCAAGAAAACATGCACCACTACAATTTCATACAAAATCCCAGACCAGTCCATGATAAACATTTAGACAAAAAGTCCCATACGCACACAAATTAAACACCATAAACAATTTTGAAGCATCATATATAATCAGCCAGAATTCTCAAACACGTCACTCCAAAACAGCAGGTATTATTGGCCTGGCATTACTCCAGCAATCATACCTATCATACATGCATAAATCACCTAAGATCAAATTTTTAATTACTAGAAATGCCTAACCAGAATTATCCAAAGCCCACCATGGATTTAAGTATCAAATACCCCTCTGAATTAGCATCACCTAGCATATACTATAATTGCAATCAATCAGACTTAAGGGTTATGCATAACAAAATTTATCTGTTACAAGGTAAACATTGCATCATTACAATTAAATTTATCTGTATAACACAATATTGTAGGGAAAGATTGTTGGCCAATTTTAGATGCATAAACACTGTTATTCTGTTACTAATCAGGGGAAGCTCTTCAATGAACAAGAAGTTGCGATCAAAAGTTTATGTAGCATCTCTGGCCAAGGAGATACTGAATTCAAGAATGAAGTGCTTTTAATGTCAAGGCTTCAACACAGAAATTTAGTAAGGCTCCTTGGTTTCTGTTTTGAAAGAGAAGAACGTCTCCTTGTCTATGAGTTTCTTCCCAATAAAAACCTTGACAACTTCTTATTTGGTAAATTAAATAAATCTGAAAAATATGCTTCTCCTTGTTTCTT